CAGGAGGGAAGCCTCTCCTCAGACTCCCTCGCGGGTTGCCGCGCTTTAACTAGATCGAAGCCCCTATTTTGGAATCTTGATCTTGGTCTTGATCTTGACTTGTCGAAAAAGCCGTCATCCGGAAGTTGCGAACCGACTTTTGATACCCTAAGTTACATCACGTTTGGGTAAGAGACAAGACAGAGAGTTTCAGTGAAACTTAACATACTCTTGAGATGGCGGAAAGGAATTGAACACAAAGGACCCCCGGTAATCGGCTGCCACGAGAATCAGGGTGGGTCGAGGTTGCTCGCCCAAATAGACGAATAACGACACGGAATGATGAGGCTGTAGCTTGGCGAAGAGGATAAGTTAGACGTCTAAAGACTACCTACGCAAAGAGCTAGTTGCATCTTCGGAACGACGTTCCGGCGTTAGTTCAGTGAGTATTTTCCGACCAGGATCTCCTATAACTAGCTAAATCGAAGTCCGCAAGTTCTTCAGGGCGAAGGAGTATATGCCTGAGATGTAAGTTTTAGTACATGTCGGAATAAGAAAATGCATAACCATCCAACCGCCTCTATGCAGACTTACACGAGTAATGTGACCCGTATTTCAGAAAAAGTAAATGCCAAAAGAGGGAAGCCCGTTATATTTGATGTCTCAACAAAAATAAATTCTACGAGGGGTCACGTGTCTCGAATGAAACGCCAACTGTCACTGAATGATTATAGATGGCACAAAGGTACCTCAAATGACTCTAGGAATGAGTCATTTGAGCCACAGTAATACTTACGTCACGCAGCCCACAACGGCTGCGCACACGATGGAAACTGCAAAGACCCAAAGTATTCCGTACACGAAGTCGTTACCACCCGAGAAGATCAGTTTAATGGCGAACCAAGTTTTGAAAACTGGGAATGGAAATCTCTTGAAGAACCTCTTGGCGAAAGCGTACGAATAACAGCCAGCGGGGCACGGATCAAAGAAACAGCTGGAGAAAGGGCGCCTGTTGTTCGACACTTGATGGGTAGGCCAAGTTTGATGATCGCATTGGTCAATTACTTTGGTTGGCCCCGAGATTCCATCCATTGGCGTGTTGAGATTGATTCACCCTAGCGCACCCGTGAATGCCTGATTAAGACAAATTTGTTGCTCAACAGATCGTGTGCGCCGTCTAAGACTACAGTATAAGGCGGCGGTGCTGGTAATAACCCTCATGGGCGTGGGAGAACGTTTCTCCTCGTATAGGTCTATCCCGGCCAGCATTGGCCAATATTCAAAGTATCACTCATACGTCGAAGGAAGGAGGGATTCGATGATGCCGGCGACCCGGAAGATAGATCGAACAACACGCGGCGGCAGAGCTGAACATCGGGAGGCTGTAAAGGCCGAACAACGGTTGACTGAAGGCCTGAAGAAGGACAAAAAACAGAGATCCGCCAGTGATGGGACGGGCAAGCCCGCGCAGAATAAGCTCTCTCGACTGATGGCTATTGAGCAAGAGCCGGAGCCGACACTAGAGGACGCAAACGAAGAGTGTCTTCAGGAAATGATGGATATCCTGACAAAGTCGACTGAATGGAGAGAAGAGCCAAAGGTCCGAGCAAATACATCGGGCTTCCAAGCATAGCAGATTTCGAAAATTCGGTTTTTCGCCATGACATGTTCGAGACGAAACTTTTATCTCCTAAAATTAGTGCGGTACAATACTCAGGATTTACCGCTTACAGTAACTTTTCCTCTCAACGGAGTATAAGAAATATTGTAATTAGTACAAAAGCAGTTCAGCCAGATTGCAGAAGCTCTAGCTGCGTGTGGATTCATTCTTACTATGTCCCGTGCTGCCAATTGAGGCGTATAACTGGCTAATCAAGCCTACGGCACGGCTACAGTACCACTAAAGCCAAACTAGCTGCTTGATCCCCGCGTCCAGCGGACCAGACAGACCTAGGATTCGGAGACGGAGGACGAGGCATAGGCGACCTTTAGACACCTACCCTTCCCAAATACATCAGCTTTTTTTATGAAAGTTCGCGTCGATCATGCCGAATGTTAGATATGACCGTAAACGTCGTGTTGAGCGGGCGTATGGCTCTACGGGTTGGAGGAAGAGGAATAGACACGGGGACCCGGTCAGTTGTTAGAGGTAGAATAGGCACCCTCTACGCCACCTAGATTTAGAGAAATGTGCGTATATATTATCATTGTCCAAAGCGCGATCGAAAGTTGCTACGCTAGCTGAGAGTGTGATTCACACTTTGCAGAACCTGCCCCGCCCCCCCCCCCCCCCCCCCCCGGGGGCGAGGTTGGCCCTCGGCGCCCGCTACTTGATGTTGAATTCTCGGTGGAAGGTTCCGTTATTTCCTCTATTCACTCTAGAGTGGCCCAGATGGATTCTTCGACAGT